ATAGTAATGAACATACAATGTATAGTAACTCTAACAAGCAATGAAATGCAAAAGCTATCTTGTTGGCTTTCCTTCCTCTTGAACTCTTTTCTCTTGACTAGATCTTTGCCCTTTGTTGTGTATAGCCTATTAGGCAACCAATGACACAACATTAAGCATTACTTCAACTCTACAACTTAACATAACCCCTTAAACCCCTTTTTTCTTGACTTTTAGGGTTTATTTTTCTAGATTTGATTCTTGAACTTTCTTGGGCCTTTCCTACACAATTTTCCATTTAGAATCCATTTATCATGTTAGTTTTATGAAAATCCAATCCCTTCCCATTGAACTTGACCTGGCCGAACCATATATATAATTATAGGGAAAAGGATTTTCAACAAAACTAACATGTAATCACTTAATCCTTAACCTTTAACCATGCTTAATCTTAACCATACTTCATCTAAACCATTCCCTATCATTTTGATAAAATTTGGGCAGCACTTTCCCTTAGGAAAATGACTTTCCATCATCATTAAAATAGCATAAAACCCACATATCATTATTATACTTGAAATAGGAGAGTTGTAGAAGCTTACCTTGCTTCCAAATGACTTTCTCTCACTAGAAATCTTCTCTTTCTCTCTCTAAACGAAAATTTGCAAGAGGTTTCCTACTTGAAAGGCTTCACACAAAATGAACATGTGGGAGGGGTATTTATAGGCTTCCTTTTTAATTAATTCCACATTTACCCTTCTTGCATAAGACTTAATCTTAGCCCTCCAATTTTTACCTCTTTCCACATGTACAAATCTAAGGCTATGTGGCTTAATATGTTGATACTTGAATGGTGAGTCATTAGGGCTTATGTTATCTTTCTTATCCATTAAGATTAATTAGGCTTTAATCAACGTTAACTCTCTTAATTCCTTGATTAACTTGGCTAATTACCCTTCTAGAAACTTTTGACTTTTCAAAGATAGATGGTTAAATCCAAGCCATCTAATGAACCATGTTTGCCATGTGTCGCGATCCTACGGAAGATGACTTAACCATAATGATTTTACTTATCCCTAATTAAATTTTATTCTAACTTGATTTAGTATTCTCTTTTCCTTTTTCTTTTTATTTTCTTTTTCCCCTTTCTTGGCTAATTTGGGTGTGACATGTGGCCTTGACATTCTGTCAGAAATTTTACCACCCAGGTTATCCTAACAGTCTACTGAATTGTAATATAATGTTGGTTTATTTTATCTGATAGCTGAAAAATTCTAGTATCTCAGAATTCTTATATCAGATCACCATTAATTATATCTTAGTAAAGGGAACTTTCTTGATTAATTTCATAATTTTTCTCCCCATATAACTCTTTAAATTGTCGTTTTTGTAAAAACAGACAATCTACCGATATTAATTTAGCTTTAAATTCAATTAAAGCTAACCTCCTCATCATTTAGGATTAGAAATCATTTATAAATCTCCATAATTCCTAAATGAATTTTCTTCAATTTTTCATAATTTTCTGAGATCTCTAAGTATTTTTAATAATTGATATTGGCCAATAAAAGGCACATATATGGCACCACCTTAGAGGAGCAGAGGGGGAAAAAATAGTCAACACTATTGACAAATTAGTCAACCTTATTGAGTCACATAGTAGAAATTTTGCTCTACCGAGTAGATAGGAAACTATCTAACACTTACTCGTATTGCATTCTAATTTTTCTATTGCCCATAAAATATCTTCTAGTGACTTATATGATGACTCATCACCCTCATAAATGAAGCACATGGGAAAGAAGAAGAGAATTTAAGTTGAACTTGTCTTCCTCAAAATATCTGAGATATTTTCTAACTTTGTCTCCTAATTAAGGGACATTAATTATTTAACATTTAACTGGAGCATTTTATTCAATCCTGAACTCCAAAAATTCATCTATTTATACCATAAAATTCATTTAATTCTGTAGAAAATCTATGAATTTTCTCAAATCATAACTCAGACCATAAATATTTCTTTTTAAATTTCCCATAACAAACCCATAAACTGCAGTTTTGTCCTTAAAAAAATGTTAAAGCCATTCTACTAGCCTTCTAGGATTGAGACTAATTTTATAAATTCTATAGCCTCTTAGATCATGCATCCCCATTTTACCATAATTTTCTGAGGTTTCCTTATGATTCAAACAATTAAATCTATCTCTACATCTCAAACTGAGCCACAAATTTATAAATTCCTTTTAAGTCAACTCAAGGGCATTTTCGTCATTCCTCCTCATATGCAGGCCTTAAAATATCATTTTCCATTTTTTGGAATTTTCTAGAATTTTTGGGTATTACTTCCATTTTTACCCATTTCTCGCCTGAAACTTTCCAAAAATTACGGTTTTGCCCCTGGTCAAGTCAACCTCATAGATCACCCTATTATGGCCTCTATTATAACCTTTGGTCTGAACTAACCTCTTTTCCCATTTCGGGGCCTTGAGACTTCACTGGAACCTCTAACTTTCTTTACATTCTGGTCCCTAGAACTTTCTCTATTTATAGTTTAGTCCCTGAAACCCTTTAACATTCCTTTTACATTTCCGGAGCTCCTGCTCATAGGGATTTAGTAGCCTACCTATCTTAGGCTAATCCGTGTATTCTTAGGCCCAAAACTTGGGGTCTGACATTTTATGCTGCAACTTAAAAATTAGGGCATATATATAGGGGGACTCATGGTTTTTGATATACTTCGACTTTAGGGGTCATTTGGAGGCTTGCTCTAGTAGGGTTTAGAGGTTTTGAAGCTTGGCAAAATTATGCTCGATATTACAAGAGATTGAGAGCTTCTTCCTTATATTTTTCTTGGTTTTCTTCTTCTCCTCTCCTTGTTTCTGTAATGGCTAGGAACTATCTTTATAGTTGTGGCTCTTTGCTAAACATGTAGCTAGAATAGTCATCCTAGGGTTATTTGGATCTATTGTATGGATTAAAACTTGTTTAAACTCTCTCTTTGGTGTTAATGATAAAGTTTTATTGTTTTTACTTTGATCTTAATGCTTCCTTATGATTGGCCATCATTTGGATTGATTAGTTCATTGGTTGAAGCTTGAGAAAGTTAAATTAATCTGTGAACTTCAGTAAAAATGTGTTAGTCTAAAAATTTATCTTATTAATTGGAAGGTTTGTTGATAGAATAGAGATATATCTATTGACCTAGCATAGTCTAAAAAGGGGTTTTGGTTTTCAAAGTACAGCCTTTTCAAACAAATGCAAGAGATTATTGTGTTTTATTGAGATTGCAAAACTTGGTCTTAACTTGAGAAATTTTAATCAATTCTATGAACCCTGGGCTAATTGGACTTATTGTTAACTACCATTTGAGAAGTGATTAATCAAGTTTTATGAAGTATATTAGTGAAAAATAACCCTAGACCTTTATTTGTCTCAAAGTCAAGTTGAATTCATTTAGATTTAAATCTTTGTTTTTCTGATCTCATTTCACAAACTCTTTTTACAACTTTTGCTTTACTTAACCTAATCAAGAACACAATTATGATTTTTAACTCATCTGGCCTAAATCTCTGAGGGAATGATACTTTTGTATTACTTATGATCTGTCTGCTTGCGGAGGCTATTCAGCAAACAAGTTTTTGGCACAGTTACTAGGAACTAATGGCAAGATTATTGGTGGTTGATTGTCTTTATTGTGTGATTGGTTACACTTAAGTTTTCTCTTAGCATTTGTAGAAATAGTTATAAATAGAATAGTAGTATTTATTTTGTTCATTTTACTTGATAAGTTTAATACTTGTGTTTTTTATTTAAATTTGTAGGTACCTCTTGACGTATATAAGGAAGTCTGGAAGTTATTTTGGAAGAGGTTACTAAAGAAGAATCCAGTTCGAGAGAAACTAAAAGCATATTAGAGATTCGACAACGACCTTGGTTACTTTTACCACCACCGCTTGAAACAAAACCACAAAAACCGCAAAACAAGATGAGAATGACTTGTATGCTCTGAATGACTATTTAAATAAGGAAGGGCAGACTTTTCATTCAAGCATCTAGCTACTAGACATTCAAGCCAGAAATTTTGAAATAAAGCCCGTTATGATTCAACTACTGGGGATGATTGGTACGTTTGAGGGAAATTTCAATCATGATCCTAATGAGCACTTGACCAAGTTTATAGAGATGTGTGGGAACTTCAAGCAAAATGGGGTTTCTAAAGATGCTTTAAGGTTGAGGTTGTTCCTTAGATCCCTGTCTCACAAGGCAAAAGCATGGTTGAATTCCTTGCCAGAACACCCTATTAAGGCTTAGGCTAAGCTTGTGGCAAAGTTCAAAGGTAGATTTATTCCAAGAGGTAAGCGAGCTATACTAAGGTGCAAATTGCTTTCCTTTGAGCAGCATCTGGAGGAGTTATTCTATAAGGCTTGGGAGAGATTCAAGGATATGTGGAGAAATTGTCTGAATCATAAGTAGAAAAAAATATATTTTAATGGAAGCTTTCTAGAATGGGTTTAATGATCAGACAGTAACTATGCTCAACACTGCTTCAAATGGCAAAATTGGAAAGATAAAAGTCAATGAGCTATATCAATTGTATGAGGATATGGCCTCCATTATGATGCAACAGTACAATAAGAGGAAGCAAGAGTCTAGGAGATATAAGGAGCGAAGTTCTTTATCATCTAGAGATATTGCATCGCAACTTGAAGTGATCTCCAAAAGGTTTGACAATTTGGAACTACAAATCAAGAAGGGCAACACTACAAGAGTTCATGCACTTCAGGCTTCGAGGTACACTTGTGACCAGTATAATAAGCAACATCATTCTGATCAGTGCCCTTACACTTTGGAGACAGTAAATTATATGAACAATATGCAGCGAAGGCCACAAGGAAGTCCTTACTCTCAAACCTACAATCCAAACTTGAGAAATCATCCAAATTTCTCATGACAAAATGGTCCAAGCTTGAACCCGCCGCAAATATTATCTTCTGGTGCTAAACAAATACCTCCTAGTTTTTATGGCTAGCCACAGCAGCAGGTACAGCAACAGCATCCTCAACAGGAAGAATCAAAAATTAAGAAAATATTTGCTCAATTATTGGCAAATTAAGAATCTGCAAGGGCTGGCAACCTTCTCTCTCCATAAGACTGCTATAAAGAATCTTGAGGTTCAGATGGGACAGCTAGCTTCTCAAATGAATGTCCTTATAAGTAATAGCCTTCCAAGTGACACTATTCCTAATCCAAAGAGGGATAATAAGGAGTGTAAAGCAGTCAACTTAAGGAGTGGCAAGGTCCTTCCTGACAGTTTTGGTCCTGGTAAAGTTACTAAAAAAGCTCAAAATGACGTGGCAATTGATCTTGATAAGGGTGAAATAGGGCATGAAGAGCCCATCTCTGAGGATGATAACAAGAAGAGAAAGCAAGCTAAGAAGGACATGGTGGATGTGGTAAAAGGCAAGTATGTAACTTTTGATGTTACGGAGGAAAAGAAGAGGAAGACGTTGACCTCTCCTACTAAATATGTGCCACTGCCACCTTTTCCTCAAAGACTTAAGAAACAGCAAGAGGATGGCCAATTCAAGAAATTTCTTGAGATGTTTAAACAGCTGCACGTAAATATACCTTTGGTGGAAGCACTAGAACAAATGCCAAAGTATGCTAAATTCATGAAGAATGTCTTGACAAAGAAGAGGCGGTTTACTGAATATGAAACTATAGTAGTGACTAAGAGTTTCACGGATGTCATCAAGCAAATTCCCCCTAAGCAAAAGGATTCGAGAAGTTTCTCTATTTGTTGTTACACTGGAAATAAGTTCATGGGGCAAGCTTTATGCGATTTGGGAGCTAGTGTAAATCTGATGCCACTTTCAGTTTTTAATAAGTTAGAGTTTGGTGAAGCTAGACCAACCACTATTACTTTACAACTAGCTTATCAAAGCATGTCGTATCCTCAAAAGATCATTGAAGATGTGTTGGTGAAGGTCAACATATTTATATTCTCTGTTGACTTTATTGTGCTTGACTTTGAGGCTGATAAAGAAATGCCTTTACTCCTGGGGAGACCATGTTTGGCAACTGCTAGAATCCTTATTGATGTTGAAAAAGGGGAATTAACTTTGATGGTTAATGATGAACATGTAACATTCAACATGTACTATTTGATGAAAGCCCCAAGCCGTCATGAGCAGTGTTCTTTTATAAGCATTGTTGATCAGATTGTGCAAGGTGATTTCAACAAATCAATGTCTGAGGACCCTCTTGAGGCTGTATTGTGGGGGCTTGAAATAGATGATACAGAAGTAGCAGAGGTATTGGCATTGATGAATGCTTCGTCTTCTTACTCCAAGGGCCGAGCATACTTTGAAACTCTAGATCTTTCATCTCTAGAAAGACCAACTTTGAAGCCATCTCTTGAAGAGCCTCCAACACTTGAACTCAAGACCTTACCTTCTCATTTATAATATGTTTACTTGGGCTCTAACAATACTTACCTGTGATTATTTCTTCTAATCTCACTGTGCAACAAGAAGAGCAGTTGGTAGAAGTCCTTAAGGCTCTCAAAAAGGCCATTGGATGGGCAATTACAGATATTAAAGGTATCAGTCCCTCCACCTGTATGCATAAGATTCTTCTAGAAGACAAATGTAAAGCCTCTGTTGAACATCAAAGAAGGCTTAACCTGATCCTGAAAGTAGTGAACAAGGAAATTCTCAAATGGCTTGATGCAAGAATCATATATCCTATTTTTTATAGCTCTTAGGTGAGCCCAGTCCAATGCGTTGCCAAAAAAGGTAGTATGACTAGAGTAGCTAACACCCACAATGAGCTGATTCCTACTCACACTGTTACGGGGTGGAGAGTATGCATGGACTACCAAAAGTTAAATACTGTAACTAGGAAAGATCACTTTCCTCTCCCGTTTATTAATCAAATGTTAGATAAGCTTACTGGAAGGGAATGCTTTTGTTTTCTTGATGGGTATTTTGGCTATAATGAGATTATCATTGCTTTGAAAGACCAAGAGAAAACAACTTTCATTGCCCTTATAGAACCTTTGCATTCAAACATATGACCTTTGTATTGGACAATGCACCGGTCACTTTTCAACATTACATGATGGCCATTTTTGCTGACATGATTGAGCACACTATGGAAGTATTCATGGATGACTTCATAGTCTTTGGTGATTCGTTTGACAAGTGTTTAATCAATCTAACAAGTGTTCTACAACGGTGTAAAGAAACCAACCTTATCCTTAACTAGGAAAAGTACCACTTCATGGTGAAAGAGCACATTGTGTTAGGTCATTGAGTATCCAAGGATAGACTAGAGGTTGAAAAAGCAAAGATCTCTGTGATTAAACAACTTCCCCCACCAACAAATGTAAAGGGTGTGAGAAGTTTCCTAGCAATTTTGATGATGCTTCTTAAAGAGCTTTTGAAGAATTAAAGAAGAGACTTGTTTTTGCTCCTACAATTATGGCCCCAGATTGGAGTTTGCCCTTCATTGTGATGTGTGATGCTAGTGATTATGTTGTGGGTGCAATACTTAGGCAAAAGAAGGATATAAGACTTTTCACCTGATTTACTATTCGAGCACATTAGATGATGCTCAAGAAAAATATACCACCACAAAGAAAGAGATGCTTGCTTTGGTGTTTGTGTTTGGGAAGTTTCGATCATACCTTGTGGGACCCAAAGTCACGGTGTATACAGACCATTCAGCTCTCAAATGCCTCTTTAGCAAGAAAAAATCAAAAGCAAGACTGATTAGGTAGGTGCTTTTACCACAAGAGTTCAACTTAGAAATTGTTGATAGAAAGGGCAGAGAAAATCAAGTTGTTGATCATTTATCTAGATTGAGTACTGATTCTCAACTCGAAGTGGAAAAGAGGATTAATGAAACCTTTCATGATGAATAACTCTTTGCTATAGCTCACACCAAGGAGCCATGGTATGCTGATATTGTTAATTTCATTATTTGTGACATTATTCCTCAAGATTTGAACCATCATCAGAGGAGAAAATTCCTACATGACGTTAGACTCTACCATTAGGAGGAACCATCCTTGTTTCATCATTGTGCTGATCAAATGCTTGAAAGATGTATACTAGAATGTGAACAAGAAGAAATTCTAAGATGCTGTCATTCATCTGAATATGAAGGTCACTTTGGATGTAATAAGACTACTGTAAAGGTCTTACAATCTGGATTTTTCTGGCCTACCTTGTTCAAAGACACCTACGAATTTGTATTGAGTTGTGATCATTACTAACAAATAGGAAACATACCCAGAAGAAATGAAATGCCCCTGAATAATATGCTTAAGGTAGAATTATTGGATGTGTGGAGAATTGACTTTATAGGACCATTTCCTAAGTCCTTCAACAATCAATACATCTTGGTAGCGGTGGATTATTTATCAAAATGGGTTGAAGTCATTGCCTCCCCAATAAATGATGCCAAAGTTGCTATCAAATTCTTGAAGAAGAAAATTTTCTCCTTGTTTGGAACCCCAAGGGCAATAATTAGTGATGGGGGAAGCCACTTCTGTAATAATCAATTTAGGGCTCTATTGAAGAAGTATGGTGTCAAGCACAAGGTTGCTTTGGCTTATCATCCTCAGACTAATAGCCAAGCAGAGATCTCCAACTGAGAAATCAAAAAGATATTAGAGAAGACAGTGGGACACACAAGAAAGGATTAGTCTTTTAAACTTGATGATGCATTGTGGGCTTACCGAATGGCATACAAAATGCCTATTGGTATGTCACCTTATAGATTGGTAATTGTGAAAGCATGCCATCTACTTGTTGAACTAGAACATAGTGTGTATTGGGCTATCAAACGGCTCAACGATGCAAAGGCTATGGGTGAAAAGAGACTTTTACAATTGAATGAACTTAGGGAATTTTGATTCAATGCCCATGAAAGTTCAAGACTATATAAAGAGAAGACCAAGAGACTCCATGATAAGAAAATCCTTACTAGAAATTTTTTGTCGGGTTAAAAAGTTTAATTGTACAATTCAAGGCTTAAACTCTTTCCTGGGAAACTAAAGTCCAGGTTATCTGGTCCATTTGAAGTTGTGAAGATTCATGGCCGTGGAGTTGTCAAATTAGAAGGAAAAGATAAAGAGAAGTTCCTAGCAAATGGTCAAAGATTGAAGCACTATTGGGGTAGCTCGATAGATTGTCAAACTGTCACCTTTCCCTTATCAGAGGAATCTTAAGCAGCTAAAGAGTTAGGCTGAAGACTACAAATCAAGCGCTACTTGGGAGGCAACCCAAGCTCTGAACTTTTCTTTTGTGTTGTTTATTGCTTTTTGATTTTATCTTAGTAGTTTTATGTTTGATCTTTGTTTTTGTAGGCCTAAAGGTTTATTCCCCAAAGTTTGGATCTTTGCAGGAAGGAAGAGCTGAATTCTAACCATTATAATCAAGGAAGTACACCTAACCCTAATCTTAAAAGAAGTTAAACTGTGTTCCTCAAGCCTTAAATATGCACTTGCTGTTATATCTGGAATATCAAGTTCTGCTGATTTACAATTCATTGATATTGTGGCTTTGATTGGTTACTTTGATTATTCTGGAACTTATGTTAACTTTAGGCCTCTTGTGGGTGTTGTTTTTGAGTGTTTGTCTGTGTTTTGTTGGTTCTTTTGTTTGTGCTTTTGTGTGGTCTTTTGTTCTTATGTTTTGTGTGTTTGGGGGATGTAGGTTTAGTTAGTTGGTTTGTGGGTAGGCCAATTTTGTCATAGGCACTGTGGCGTTTTTAGTTATGCACTGCAGCGGCCTTACCTTTATAATTGAGTTTGCTTTGGTAATAGGAGCTGCAGTGCCTGATCACATGCACGATGGTGTCTAGGTTTATTTTACTGTGTTGCATTTCTGTAATAGGTGCTGCTGCTCCTTATCATATGTGTCGCGGCATCCCTTTTTTTGCTTTCTCTTATGTCTCTGTAAAACGCACTGCGGCGTGAGTGCTTAAGCGCTGCGACGCTTGCATGTCCTCTGTTGCTCTTCATATTGCCCTCTTTACCCCTCTATATGTAGACAGTTTTAGGGTCTGATTCAATGGCCTTAATTCTAAAGCCCTAACCCTTTATTCTTTTCACTCTTCACCTAATCTCAACACCTTCCCTTCCTCCATTCACAACCCTCACTTATTTTTTCCATTTGATTTAAAACCTTCATCCCCCACTGTTCTACACTCTCTCTTTCTTCCGCTCTCGTCGACCTCTTGCTCCTACTCTGGCCATTGACTCAGTTTCCATTTCTCTCAAGAAGTTACTGTCGTCCATCCTATTTCTCAGTCACGTGTTCGTCTACTATTCTCCTTTTTCCCTTCGTGCTATTTCTTCTGCTCTATCGGTAGTATTATTCTTTCCTTCCTTTGTTTATTTTGTTTAGTTTATTTCTTTGACAGATGGGAAGGATGCTGCTAGGGTTTTGCCTTGTGGTTGGGAGTGATGCTTGAACTGTAGATAGAGGGAGTTTGATTCCCTAAGGTTCACTGCGGTTAGAATTATGGCTAATGTTGAAAAGGTTTTCAAAAGCATATTTCTATAGCATATCATCGATTCTTTTTGACATAGAAAGCATACTACATTTATTTGTGAAAAAGTTTGTTATTTAAAATCCATGGGATACTTAAGAAAACTTCCAAATGATAATTTCACATTGCCCAAGTGGTCCAAATTTCCAAATGGTACTTGTGATTTCTATGTGACTCAATTTGCATTGATGTTCTTCTTGAGAAAATGGATTGCTTGATATGATAAATTCTCGTTTCTCAGGGTGAGTCCTCAGGCAGCATCTTTGAAATCAGTTTGAATAGGCATTTACGGATGGATGCCTATCTTTAAAACCCTTTTGTAAAACCTTTATGAACTCTGTTTGGATTGAGGTTCCTTGCAAGTTGAGGTTAGGAAAGACTTAAGTAAGGGCAAGAGTGTGCTCTTGGGATTGCTTGAGGTTTACTTAGCTTTGACTTTTGATCTCACTCTTTGATCTAACTTTAGGGGAGAACCTTTTTTAGGGTAGTGTTGTTTTCTTTCTCTATTGTTTTGTGTTTATGGTGTTTTGTTTGCTTTATGTGGTTTGCTTTGTTCATTTTGTGCAGGGAAACAACCAAATAGCCCCCAAGAAGAAAGCTCATGCTACATCCCTTAAGCCCCCTATCAAGCAGCTGATTGATAGGAGAGGGTTACATCAAGAAAGGGAATTTCTATGCACAAACAAGTTTGGGCTCTGCAAAAAAGTGAGAAAGGCAAAGCTCTTAGATCTGATTTGATCCAAAACCATAGGGAATAAGAAACTGGTTTGGAAGTTTTACATTAGGGTAGCTACAAATTTGAGTAATGAGATGTTTATTAGGTACCAACATGTCCTCATTACTCTAAAGCAGATAAGAGATTACTACTAACTTCCTACAATTGAAAAATGCCAATATCAATGGT